AAAACGGTTTGAACCATGGCCACACCCGCGGGAGGACCGCAGGTTGGGTGGGAAACTGCTTCCGGTTGGGCAACATATCCTAAAACGTGGGGGCATGGGGGGGTGGATCCATATTGCATTTGTGGAGCGCCAGGACAATGGGTAACTTTTTTCCCAGTGAGTGGTGAAACTCGTCATTTTTGGTGGTCTCCATTATCACCGAGGACCTTCTTCAGATGACGGTTCCCAGGTGAAACTGGGGGCCTGAAACGGAATATTGAGGGGGTTGGGTTGGGGGGGTTGGGTTGGGGGGGCCGTTGGCGGTTTCGGGGGTTTGGGGGGTTTAAGGTCCACTTCCATGATTTGTTGTTGAGGATACCGCTCCAGCAAATGGAAGCCAGCCTCCCCACAAACATGGAAACCACCAGAAGGTTCCTTCAATGAGGATCGTGGTCTTCCTATGAAATCAGGTTCTATGTTTCTTGATGAGAGGGTAGTTTTTGTCACAATGGACGGACATGGGAAAATGAGGGATCGTCCCCGGGCTCTTGCGGGAAATTTCGTAAGTCAGAACGTGGATATTTCATCGAGCCTCAAGTGGGGTGAGAAAAGCCAACAAAAATCCGCGATGTGAGGGGCGCATTTCAGATCCGTCCGAAAGCCCAAACCGGCTACAATTGGGCGTGTCGTTCTTCTTTTTGAGGATACACCCCCCTTTTTTCATGCTTTCAAAGGGAACCTACCAGGACACACACCCCTTTTCGCATGGTCTCAAAGGGAAACACCAAAACAAAAAAACAAAAAAGCGGCCGCAGCATTTTGGGCGGCCACTTGCCGGTCGCCCCCGTCCTCGCCTCCGCGGCGTCGCGGGCTTTGGCGGCCTCCGACTTGGCCTCCGCGGCCTGGCCATCGATCGCTGTGGAAAGCTCACGGCGGCAGCTCGAGTCGGCTCGAGCCGACTCATGGAGGGAATCGAGATCTAGCAGCCCAGCATCCGCTTTTTTCCCTGAGGACATCGAGTCATCCAGAAATCGCACGAAGGTTGAGTTGCCATGGTGGAAACGCAAAGTTTGTTTGGGCCTCTTTGGTGGCCCAGCAACTCAGGAAGTGAGCCTGAGAAACCAGGGTTGAAACCAGAACGTTTCTCGATCGAATGAGAAACCAGGGCTCCTTAGGTGGTGCGAAATGGATTTCGTCCATCCTCGGTATGATTGGTGGCTTCAAGGCTTGGTATGGGGTTTGGTTCCCGGTAGTTTGGAGGGGGGGGCTTCCGGTTAAGGACAGTTTCCAGTTCCCCAGGACCTCAAATCTGAAACCACCAAGCTTTCCTGTAGATGGTTGCAAGTCATCCATTTCGCAACAAGAAACCATGCCTGAAACTAGAATGTGTCTTCATATTTACAGGGCCTTTCCGTTGACGTGACACGGCCTGAGCCGTTCCCCTTCTCGAGAAGTACCTCCAACAGCTTCGGCCGAAATTCATTGCAGGGACCCCTTCCGCAGCCGCCCCAGACCCAGGATCGGCCTTCCCACATAGCTGCTGTTTCAGGTGGCGAACAAATGCATGCATATTTTATTGTTTGCTTCACTTTGAGTCAGGGCTCTAAGGAATGACCACTTGTGATACGACAGAAGGGGCTTCCCAACGACTAGTTTGTTCATATAAAGAGGGATTCCCTTGTATCACAGAAGTGGGGAGAAACCCCTTGATCCCACAACCCTGCTTTGAGTCACTGGACAAATGGTAAAATGCATCCTCAGGCTACGCCCCTCCCCCGCCTCCTTTGCGGCCTTCTTCGCCTCTTCCTCCTTCACCTCAGCGAGTGCCGGAGTTGCACAACACCGCCGTCAACATCGTTAAATGGGGCTGGTTGCCCTTTGCTGGTGGTTTTTTAAAGGCAAACCAAAGGAAGACGACCCAAAAAAAATGGGAGCTATTCTGAGACAAATAGGAGGTGGCCCTTTGTTGATGGCTGTAAAAGGCAAACCAAAAGGAAAACGACCCGAAATTTAGGTGCCCCTATTCTGAGACAGGCCCAAATCTCCCGTATATATGTCACGTTTTGAGGGCACCGCTGTCCGGGTGAAGGGAACCACAAAGCGGAGGGCAGTGGATGGACGCTCAGCTCCCTTTCTTGTAGCCTTCCAACAAAAGGGGAAGAGGACCCGTAGATGGAAGCCGCCATGTGGAGTCCCCTGGAAAAAAAATGAAACATGTCCAGTGATAGATTAGCTTTAAAACCAACAGGGGAATGTTGAAACAAACAAAGCAATACTTAAGCAACTGTCAGGAAGTCCAGTTGTCGAAGTCCGCCTCCCCCCCAATTTTCGTGGGATTGTGTAACCACAAAGAAAAGAACAAACAAAAGACACACATCTCCTCTTTGTGGTGTCCTTTTAGAGGGCGGGCCGGGGTCACCCAGGTTGAACTTGCACTGGCTGGGCCTTCAGTCTGTCGATGGGTCGCAACTCCTTGGGACCATTGGCGAGTTTTCTTGTGGAAAAATGTCGTCCGTCGCATGGGCTGTCAATTCTCACCATTGGCACACCCAGAAAAATGTGTGGCTCCATTTTGGGGTATCCGCCTTCAAACAGCTGGCCTTTCCGAAAAGACGATGTTCAAATCAAGGCTGACACCTCGCGCATCGGAGTGTGTTAGCATGACGTTGACAGGCACAAAGTCGAAAGCCTTCCGAAAGTCGAAGGACACGCCCGCGAGTTCGTGGTCCTCATAGACAGGATTGTCCACATCCAACGCCATTTGCACCGCAAGTTCCGCAGCTCTCTTCCCTCAGCGGAACCCGAACACGTTTTGCAGAGTCCAAGATTCCTGCCACAGCAGCACTGGAAACCTCGCCCTGCTCCATAGGCGATACATGGCACTCAGTACCGTGATGGGCCGATACTCCGTCGGCTTGGCCTAATTGGTGTCGTCTTTTGGTACCAAGCTCCTGCAGGCCTGTAGGTCGCCCAAGTTGAGAACCGACCCCTTGAAACCTCCAACTTGCTCGGATTGTCGTGAAACTGCTACACCTCTTGCCCTCACAAACGTGGCACGTTCACATAACTCCCGGTACCCACTCTGTGGACAAATTAAAAAAAAAAAAAAAAAAAAAAAAAAAAAAAAACGCTAGAGTCTAGAGGCGGTCACAAGTCACAAGCTTGGACAAGATGCCTCCAGGAACGCTTGCCATATCCGCCCTTTTGGGTCTTGGAAAAGTGGCGGTATCCCAAGTTTCATTTTTATCTAGCTATCCGGAATTCTCCACGGCCAAACCCCTCAAGACATGTCTAATCGGTGATACGGGATCTGTGTCTCACTTCCGATCAAGTGGGTTGGCCAACAAAAGTCCCACCAAAAAGGTCCAAATCGAATGGACTTACCACTGAAACGATCCAAAACCGGAAGTTTAAGAGAGGATAGGCCAAAAGAAGCCACCAAACTATTTCTTTACCTCCGAAGTGGCAACCAAACCCAACAAGTCTACAGCCCGGGAGAATTGGAGCGATGCATCTGGGCCACCGGACGCGCGCCTTGTCTTCTAGCTCCTTGGCCTCAACCAGCTACCCGCTGGGAACACGACAAAACCCCTGCTAAAAGTGGATAACTGTTCGTGGTTTAATTCAGAAAACCCAAATTTGTTGGCAAAATATTTTCTGTCCTAACATCCCTTGGCAAAATGCACCAAAGAACCCGCTTGGCCCATGTTTGTTTGTCTGGGAGATACGGTGGATGCCCTCTCGGGTCGTTCAACATGGGAAAAAGTTGGACCATCATGAAACCAACCCTTCCAACAGGGCACCCACACACCCTAGTTTGGTGTGTATTTGTTGAAGCTACCCCCCCCCCCCCCCCCACACCTTCTTTTCCGACGGCTTAAGGGAACTCACAAGGCGGACGCCCTTTCATTTTGGAGGGGTCCAACCCTAACAAAGACACACCCATATGGGTATGTGTCAGGGGGCAAAACCTCCAAAATTATCCGGTTTCCTGTGTATTCCCCTTGCAACCAACTCCAGAAAGGGTACCCTCAAAACAAATCGCCAATAGGAGCAACGTCCAGGGGCCACCTATGTAGTTGTATCTTTTTTGAGGCTACCCCTCTTTGGTGGCTTTATTTTTTTGGGGGGGTCCCTTCCTCACTTCCTGAGTCGATTGCCGGAAACAAAACTCTCCCAAACTGTTTGTCTACCGCTAAACTGGTCCACCCCCAAAAAGTCAGGAGCGAGCTTCACAAAGTCTTTCCACCAGAGTCTCCAGGATGTTTAGGCATGCCTATTTTAGAGAGAACCAAAAAACATGGTCCATTGGGTGTTGTGGGAGAGGGGGTGGGGGTCCGAAAAAACCATTGGTGTTTGGCCTTCTTTTTTGCAGGAGAGGTGGGTGTCCCCGTAAGAAAAAAGAGACACACCCCACATGAGTCATAATCAAAACCCGGTATTAAAATGGTCGATCCCCAGAACCATGTAAAGAATAAAGAAGGACACCGATGGTTCTGGGGATTTCCGCTTTTGATTTGTTTTTGCAAACCAACCAAAAAGGACCCCCAGAACCATGCTTCAAGAAATGTTCGAAGGCGGATTTCCGCAGCTGCTTTGTGGCAAGGGGATCGTCCCTGAACCTAACCATCTGCCCGGGTTTTTCAGCCAGTGACTCACACAGGCGATCTTCTTGGCCTAGTGGAAAACAAAGGGACCCCCCAAAAAAAAAACAAAAAAGAAAGGAAGAAAAGGGGGGAGCTAATTCTGGGGAAGTCACATGGACGTTTCCTTGGCCAATCGCGCCTTGGTGGCCTTGGAGCTGGACGACTTCTCCGCCTGGCGGCCGCGCATGCTTTGGTTTGGAGCCAAAGGGAAACCCAACAGGGGGGACCCTTTTTGGGGAAGACCATGTTTAGTGGGGCAGCCACTGAAAAAAGGAAAACATCTTGGTTGACGTTGGGTTTGGGGAGCAAAAAATCAAACTTTAGCAGTTAAGTGGTTGGATTTCAACCACCAAACCACAAGAAGCAACAATGGAAGAGATGTTTCCCAACAACAACCACGACTGGGCGGCTCCGTTTTTGGGGGCAGAACCCATGTTTCAGGTTGGGAGGGAAAGACCGGGTGGTTTTGGAGGGTTCCATTTCGAGATGCTGGTCTTTGGTGGAACACCAGAAGGAAAGCCGCCATTTTGGGGGCTCCAAACAGAGATTCCATGGCCTGCGATAGTGTCATCAACCTCACCCCCCCCCCCCTCCAAAAGCTTGCTAGCATCTTAGATAGCTTTGAGCGCTTCTAGAAAGGGGGGCAGGGGGGGGGTGCTGTGGCAGTTCATGAGATACGACTGCTAAGGGCTTGAACACCCCACCTGCTCCGACTCCTCCTTCTTCGCCTTGCAGGCCACGGCGGCGTCCTCGAGGTGAGAAATTTGCGCCCCCCCCCGAGTCTATTTTGCAACCATACCCTTCAAAAAAAAAGGAGGTTGCAAAATAGACCCTAGGTGTCCACCATACCCCCCTCCCAAATGATAACCCGGGCTGAATAAGCGCAAATCCCTCTTGTTCTGCATGGCTCTGAGAAACATCATGGTGCAGCAGGAGAAGGGGTGGTGACCCCTGAAGGTTCTGAAATTTGGCGCTCCCCCTCCCCCCCCCAAAAAAATAGGGCTCGGCTGAACAAGTTCTGCATGGCTCTGAGGAAATTACTTGCAACTGGAAACTTTCATCATAGTGCAGCAGGAGAAGGGGAGGTGACTCCTGGAGTCGGTGGGAAAGCTAGAACTCTGAGATGAACCTAGAATTCACAAGGCGCAGGTTGATATATATATATATATATGGTCACCCCCCAAGATCCACATATATATATATATATATAGGGTGTCCCATTTTAGAGGAGATCCAGAAAGATTTTTTGGATTCTCGGCTTACGTTCGACCCTCTTTTTTGGTTGAACAGTGGGTTACAACGGGGTTAAAAGGGGGGTTGGAGGGGGGGGTTAAAGGGGGGTGCAAGGGGGTAAAAGAGGGTGGGGGTGATTGCATGTTCTTCTGCGGTTGAGGGAACCAAAACAAAGAGAACGTGGAAAGCAACCCAGGCGTTTCAATCGAAATCGCTTAGTCCGAGGTTTCCCCGAAATCAGCACCAAATCATTTCGGAGCGTCAAACCCCCTCTCACCAGGGTCCCACTTTTAAATTACCACAGGTGGAAAATGAGTTCCAAAGGGGAGCGGAGAACTCCGAGAACAGGTCCCTGGGCTTGACAAATCCAAAGGACCTGAGGTAGGGCAAAACACAAAGATCAAAGGAGCCACGGATCAATCTAGGCCCAAGGGGAGTGTTTTTTGTGTTTTTTTGCTCTTCTTTTTTTTTCTTCGCCCATGGACTCTCCAAAATCGGGGTGGAACCGTCGATGTCCCGAAAAGGGGAAGGGGCCGCTTGCTTGCAGTCTGCCAAGGAACCCAGCAAATGGATCTATCTTCGCTAACCGGGCACCCCAATGGGCTTCGGTTTTCCTCTTGGTTTCCCTTTAAAACCACAAGCAAAGGATACCCATTCCTCTTGGTGTTCCTTTAAAATCACAGAGAAAAAAAAAACATGGGTGGCCTTGTGGAAAAATAGATGGGCTTTCCTGGTAAATCGAACAAACCCCATCCAAACCAGTGGAACCCCTCTATTTTGTAAGCAAGCCAACCAAAAAGGACACCTATGCAAACCGCCTGGGGGTACTAAACAGGTGCAACCCGGAAAAAAAGGGGGAAAAAAAAAGTGCAATCACCCCTCCGCCCCCCCCCCCCGCCGCCCCTTAAAAAAAAACGTAGAAAAACAGCGGCACCCGCGCGCCCCACGCGCCACGTGCCGCCGGCGCGCGACTCGCCCCCGGTCCTCCGCCTCCGCAGAGGCCTCCGCGGCGGCCTTCGCGGCGCTCGCGGCCTCCTGGGAGACGGGGCTGGGGGGGCGGACGGGGGGGAGGGGGGGCGCGGGGGGGGGCTGGGGAGCGAGGGGGGGGGGGGGGAAGGCTCTGAAGTTTTGGTGGTTGTAAACTGTTTGGCTGCCAATTGGCGGATGGTTGATGTTTTTTTTTTTGTGTTTTATGTTTGTTGCTTGACTTTTTCGAAAATCCTTTGCCCTTTTCCACCCAAGACCACTCAGAGTTGAAGCTGGGTCACTGGTCGCGGCCGATCAACTTCCAGCCCTGACAAGTTGGGAAGGGTCCTTTGAAGGGGCTCCTAGGTGGAACCTGGGAAGTGGAGTTCCCCCAAATCAAAAAGTTGATCGATTTGCTGGTGCTGTCCATTGCAACGATCGCCACTTTGGGAAGCTCCCAAAGTGAAGGGAAACGGAGGAAACCTGGCGGACCGCCTTTGCGCGATACAAGAGAGGCCACAAAGAAGACAAAGACCGCTACGTAGGGGTTCCAAACACGGGCCAGCCCCTTTGTTGCCGTTTCGTGCTTGATGTCCAGCACCACTGTCAAGGGCATTCCCACTAGAGTGCCCACAGTGACTAGTGACACTGGGGCCCCATCACCAAGTCAAACACATGAGCCACGAACACTCATGAACTCCCCATTGGAAGTTGGTGAGAAACCGGCGTCGTTTGAGAAACCGGCTCTTTTTTCAGGGACCCCCAAATTTTCGTTTTACTGTTTCCTGCTGGCGTCCCCTTTCTCAGCCGCAAAAAGGGGGGTTTTGGGGCCCTCCAAAAAGACGAGGCCCATTCCCTGAGTCGCCAGAGAGGCTCCCGCACCCAATGTCCACCTGCCGGCTCCCGCCCCCCCCCTTCGGCCTTTTTCAGCTCCTTTTGCTTCTCCTGCCTGGTCGACTTGGCAGCCGCAAGACCCTCCCCCCAAACCATTGCTGGCTCCAAAGGGGCTTGTCTCCAGAAAGAAAATGGCGGATACATAGCCCACGGGGATTCCCAACAAAAGCAACCCTCCAACGTACCTTCCTACTAAGTTCTTGCCAGGAGGCAAGCCTCATAAGCTCATAGGCAATAGTCAAGAAGCTAAGTTCTTGTTTTCGGGGAGCGAGAAATGGATCGGGACACATCCTCAAACGTTGGAGTCGAGGTTCCGCCCCGAATTAAGGTCAAATCCCCCCCCCCAGTCCCCCAGTGACACGTGACACTGATTTTGGGTGAGCTGCCCGACTTATGAGTGGCATTTTGGTAGGAGATGGAAAAAGGGGCGGTGTTGCACACATGGTTCTCTTCTGATCATGACCTAATTCGGCTTTGAAATACCCCAAATCCCATGCTCAAAATCAACCCCCTTGCTGTATATTGGACTGTTGCTCATACCTCAGATCTTGATTGAAGGTCTGAGGGACGGAACCACTATAGTCAAATCAGTAGTGCCCTTGTGCCAGTTTGTCTCTTGATAGGGCGGCCCGGTGCTGGGTGGTTGAATTCGGAGAGCTCCAACAGGTCTCTCGGACAAAGCCATGGTCAGGATGATCTCCGGCACTGCCAACTCTCACCAGGCCGGGTGCCTTTCTCTACACAGATTCCCAAGACTTTTGGACAGGGCGCCCGTTGCCAGAAAGTAGGCAAGGCCTCAATAAGGCCGGAGGAAGGTCGCTGCAAGAAGGCCAACACCTCAGTTCCACCTCCCCCCCAATCCAACATCCCAATCCACATCCGCTCCAAAGAAATCTGCTTGTTTCCCAGGAGGAGCTCCTGGCTTTGTGGGCAATGTGACACTTGGATAACTGTCCCAACCTCTTTTAATTGGTCCCAAAATGTTCTTAGTACTCAATAGGGGTATTGCAGATTGACACACAGTTGTCTGGGAGATTCGATGGAAAAAAATGGATCCACCCCCATATGGGGTTTCTCAAACAGCCCTAGAACAGGGCCGACTGCCCTTTTTGTTTCCTCCGAATCCCCCGTGTACCATTCTGAGTGGCTGGCTGGCTTCCATTGTTACTAAACCCGTACGCAAGTACCAGCCCCCCACCTCCGCCTCCCCACCTCCCCACCTCCCCCAACTCTCCCCGCACCGTGCACCTCCCCCAACTCTCCCCGCACCTCCCCCAACTCTCCCCCCACCTCCCACCCAACTCTCTCCCCCCACCTCCCACCCACCTCCCCCTCCACCTCCCCCAACCCTCCGCCCCCTTCCCCCAACCCTCTCCCGCGCGCCTCGCGGCCTCCTTGGCTTCCGCCGCCCGCGCAGCCTGGGCCGCCTTCGCCGCCTGCTTCTCCGCCTCCTCCACCTCTTTGGCCTCCTCCGCCGCCTCATCCCAGCCGAAACGCGCGAGAACGGTAGGCCAATGCGTACATATATATATATATATATACATATTTGTATTTGTATTTATTTATTTATTTATTTATTTATTTATTTATTTACTTCTACGTACGTACGTACGTATGTATATGTACGTATGTATATATATATATGCAAAAAAATGTGTGTATATGTATGTATATAGTACCGCACCATCTCTGGTCCCCAACGACTTTTTGAAAGAACAGGTGGGTCATGCAGGGGATTGTGAGCATATATATATATATATTCATATACCAATTTTCAAGTAACAGAAGCCTGCGAATGTTTCGAGTCATGGGACATTCCAAAACTTGGTCTGGCAAAAAGACGATTTGTTGTTGTTGATTACTCTGAAGATAAACGGAAGGACCCCGAATAGAGCAAGCTCGTTCTGAGGGACCCTCTTTGCGGAAAAAAAACAAAAACTTCACCGGGGTCTTTTAGGTGATGGATGTCCTTGCGTGTGGTGACAATTGCCAGGGCGGCGGAAAAAAGTGTTCTGCGCTTCGGTTCATCAAATCAGCCGACATCATTGGATGCGCATTTCCACGTGGCGTTGTACACGGATCCGTCATTGCATTTGCTCCAGTTCCAGGAAAGCTCACCACGTGTTCCACCAGTCTTTCCCAGCACTGGATGCAAATGGTGTTGCTCTTGTGTGCCTTTTCTTGGGACCCCAAAAAGTGGCGGGTGTCCATTTGGTTTCCCTAAAACCCACCAAAAAGCGCCACCCCTAAAAAACACAAACTCTTGTGGTCTGGTGCTCAGGCTGCGGCGCCCCAAATGAAAAGGGCGAATATCCGCAGCCATTTATGGTTGGGAAACTCTCCGCAACCTTTAAATACCCGGGCGTGTCAAGATGTGTGGGTTCCGTGCCCCTAAACTGAGCTCAACTTTGGTTGCTCAAAGCCATTTGGGTCAACATGTTGCGAATATCAGTTGTTGTTTTCTTCTTCGCCAGCTCAAAACCCCTTGCAAGGTCCCAACTCAAACCGAAACGCGGACGGGACACAGCCTTTACTGTCGCCAAAGCGTTTGGTCGGCCATCTTCCCTGGGTTTTTGTCTGTAAGGGAGACCCCGTGTTTCTTTCTAAAACCATCCAAAAAGGGGCTCTCCAAGGGCGTTGACCAGCCCCAAAACTCGGCCTACGGTTCCGGTGCTTCTCACCATCCCAAACTCTTCAGAACAATCAGAAATATTTTGAGGCTCCAATGGATTTTTGCTGACCCACCAGCCTTGGCAGCCTTCTTGCGGGCCTCCTCCTCTTGCTTTTTGCCCGCATCCTGCCAACATGGGAACTACACGCGGCACGCGCCAGACTGCGACGTCCGCTCGCCACGCACAAGCTAGCACAAGCTGGAATGGAACGTGTTTATTTGGCACTTGGGGGCGCAATGTGTCTAAAAACCAAACCGTACCCAGTGCCGCTGTGAGGTCCTCGGGCTTCACTTCTTCCACGTCATCGGACTTCGAGTCGTCGTCCTGGCAACACCCGACGCACAGCACCAGCGCCGCGCGCATAACAGTCAGAACGTTGTAAGAGAGGGGTTCATCCAACGTCACGCCTGGTGAGCTTTTGGCTAAGCAACCTTCTCAAAGCTGATCCCAGGGCTGGGAATCCACATGCAAGTGCCGAGGAAGAACGAGCGATCCCAGCACATAAGCCGGCTTTGGGGCAGATGGTTTGCTCGTCACCACACATAGCGGCCGCTGCGGGGTGTCGAAACAACTTGCGAGTTCGTGCGGTGCCAACAGTCCTTGTCATCCTTTTCTTTGTCGTCATCAGAGTCGCTCTTCGCGCTCTTCTTCTCATCATCTTCGCTCTCCTCCTTCTTTTTCTTTTTGTCCTCAGCCCCGTACTTACTTTGGGCCGCTTGCCGATTCTCGAACACACGTCCGGCAAAAAGCCACACTGCGCCTGCGCAAGCTTGCGCGGGGTGACCATGTTTCGCGAAAGAAGCCCCCTAAGGATTCTTGGCGCAGAACGCCGCGCAGCTTTCTTCAAAGGAACATGAACTGCGCCATAGCAGCCATTCACAAGCAAGCCGGGGCGCTCGCGAGTTGCGGAATTTGTCTCGCGGCCGGGGCCTCTACAGGGCTTGTCAGGGACACGCCACGCGCATAGCTTTTGCCCGCCAGGTTGGAAGGTCTGGCATGGGACTGCTTTTATCTTCCCTACAAAGTCCCGACCTCTCTATCCCCTCCTTGGCGCTCACCCCAGTTGCTCGAACACGGACACGCGCACAAGCTCACCCAGTTTAACCCTTCCCCTTGTCAGGCCACCGCAACCCGCAACCCACCCACCCACCCACCCACCCCACCCACCCACCTACCCACCCACCTCAGCACGAAGCAGATCAAGTCAAGCCCGCAGCAAAATTTCGCCAAGCCAAACATAGTCCAAGACAGATGTGTCCAGTCAAACTTGACCGACGGGCTGCCCGAGGACACACTTGACGATGAAATCTTGCGCTGGCGAGCACGCCTCGAAAGTTGTTGCGCCTGCATGGCCATGGCAAATGGTTTACAACCATGGTATTCCTAGGCTGTCCAACGGAGGGTATGCCAATTCACCCCAAATAGATGCCTATCACAAAGCAAAGTCCGTGCTGTGCCATAGCCCTGTTTATGAACCACTTGACAAAGCCAATGGTTCCTAACCATTTCGCTACCTCCCAGGCCATCTAGGTACGTGGGCGTGCCTCAAAAAAGGCAACACCCCCCCAAAAAAAGAAAACAAAGGGAAAAAAGGCGGCGGCGGTCCTGATAGTTTGGCAAATGCCCAAGGCACCCTTAAGGGGGTTCCGCATTCGAAGAAAGGAGTCTTCTATGTTGGTGCCATATGTAAAATCAACGGACTACTACACTAGTTTTTGCGATGATCAGGAGAAAGGAGTTTAAAGCAGCGAATCATCCCATGAATTTCTGCATGAAATCACGACCGAAGTAAAGCGCAGCACTGCGATGGCTAGTACACATACTTAAATGAGTTCTCTCCAAATGCGTCTAAATATCATATCATTTTTAGAATGTATGTGTTTGTGTAAATACATCGAAACCATCAAAAAAATGTTAAACATCCAACAAACATTGTAACCTTCCGGAGTAGGAGAAACTTAGGATTCCTGAAACAAGAAATGACCCAGTGAAGCTTGAAACTGTTAAACCCCGAAACAAAACACATTTGCACCTCTGCTTGTTTTTCCCCAAACAGCGAAGCATTGGGGTTCTAACTTGAGGTTTAGAGAATGGGAAAGTGTGACGCCGATTCCGGGGTCCTGTTTTCTGCTTGTCTTCCTGTCTCCCAGTCTCTCCGGTCAGATGCCAGATGCTGTGACGCCGGCTCCAGGGTTGTGTCTCCCGCTTGTCCCTGTGTCTCCCAGTCTCTGTCAGATGCCAGATGCTGTGACGCCGGCTTGTCTCCCTGTGTCTGCCAGTCTCTGCGGTCAGATGCCAGATACTGTGACGCTGGCTCCGGGGTGGTGTCTCCGTCTCTGCGGTCAGATGCCAGATGCTGTGACGCCGGCTGTGTCTCCCGCTTGTCTCCCTGTCTCCCAGTCTCTCCATTCAAAGGCCAGATGCTGTGACGCTGGCTGCGGTCCCGCTTGTCTCCCTGTCTCTCAAGGTCTCTGCGGTGCCAGATGCTGTGACGCTGGCTGCGGGGTCGTGTCTCCCGATTGTCTCCCTGTGTCTCCCAGTGTCTGCGGTCAGATGTCGTGTCTCCCGCTTGTCTCCCTGTCTCCCAGTCTCTCATTGAAAGGCCAGATGCTGTGACGCTGGCTGCGGGGTCGTGTCTCCCGCTTGTCTCCCTGTGTCTCTCGCGCAATTGAGAAGCATCAAGCTAGAAACATAGATTCGGCAAGTCAGCAGGAACCACTTGCAACATGCTTCGCAATGGGGAAAGGGCATGTCGCAGATTTTGCTGTTAGCCTGTGTGCAAAGGATGTGCCTCTCTCTTGGCCCAGCGCAGGTTTGCATCCTTGTGGAGCATCGTTGGAGCTAGAAGCAAGCAATGTCGAGCCTTATTTTTTCTCGATAAACAAACAAATCGTGACATCCGGCTGATTGCTTTGCTCAGGAAACTGAGCTCCTTTTTAGAAGCCAGTGCCGCACTTCTTGGTCAAGCGCAGGTTTGCATCCTTGTGGCGCACCAGCAGGGCCCTGTCGAGCCTTTAATATGTCTATGTTTCTCGATAAAAAACAAAAATATAGTGACATCCGGCTGATTGCTTTTTGGAAGCCAGTGCCGCACTTCTTGGTCAAGTGCAGGTTTGCATCCTTGTGGTGCACCAGCAGAGCCCTGCCGAGCCTTAAATATGTAGACTGGTTTCGATAGACAAATACGGCGGACACAGAGCTGCTTTTTGGAAGCCAGTGCCGCACTTCTTGGTCAAGTGCAAGTTTGCATCCTTGTGGCGCATGCTGAGCTCGAGCCTTAAATGCTTGGCCAAGTGCAGGTTTGCATCCTTGTGGCGCATCAGCTGAACAAATACCGTGACATCCGGCTGATACTGAGCTGCTTTGTGGAAGCCAGCGCCGCACTTCTTGGTCAAGCGCAGGTTTGCATCCTTGTGGCGCATCAGCAGGGCCCCTGTGTCCATTTTTCTTGATAACCAAATATACATCCGCCTGATTGCTTTGCTCAGGATTCTGAGCTGCTTTTTGGAAGCCAGTGCCGCACTTCTTGGCCAAGTGCAAGTTTGCATCCTTGTGTGGCGCATCAGCAGAGATCTGTCAAGCCTTAAAATATGTACTTTTGTTCAGCAGAGCTGTCGAGCCTTAAATCTGTATATTGTTCTCGATAAACAAATATACCGTGACATCTGCCTGATTGCTTTGCTCAGGCTTCTTTTTGGAAGCCAGTGCCGCACTTCTTAGTCAAGTGCAGGTTTCTGGCGCATCAGCAGAGCCCTGTCGAGCCTTTCAACAAGAAAGGGTGCTCGAACTACAGTGATGCTACCAAGAGGAGACTAGAAGATGGGTGGCCCGAAAGCATGAGCAGCGCGCGGCGCCAAGTAATCCTAGCAAGTTCTCTGCGCAAGTTCCTCTGAGCAAGTTGTTGGCGCGAGTTCCTTTGATCAAGTTCTCCAGGCAAGTTCTTGGCACAAATTATCTGAGCAAGTTCTCTCAGCAACTTGAATCCTGAGCAAAGCAATCAGGCGGATGTCACGGTATTTGTTTATCGAAAACAACAGTACATATTTAAGGCTCGGCAGGGCTCTGCTGATGCGCCAGAATGCAAACCTGCACCTGACCAACAAGTGCGGCGCTTCCAAAAAGCAGCTCAGAATCCTGAGCAAAGTATTTGTTTCTCGAGAACGAAATGGACACATTTACTGCGACGCTTTTTCCTCACCTATGCAATCCAGTCCCACTGACAAACGAAACGCATTTTGCTGAAGCATTTCACACCTGGCAAGGTCGCAGCTTTGACATATCTCGTTGCCTCCTGACACAAGGGTTGAAAAAAGATTTCTCAGCCTTGTTTCCACATATTCCGCAACATGGACGCTGCTGTTTTGCACGTGTCTGAAAGTGCCAGGGCTTGCAAGTGCGAGGGCTCAAGGGTTTTCATGGCTGGACGTCGTAAGGTGCCATCCTCTGAGGCGCTAGCTTCCCTACAGTCTCTGGACCCATAGAACACCAAAGCGGTCAACGTGAGCCGTATTGCATGGCGCTTGTGCTAGCCTCCCGCAGTGAGTCTTTTTGGAAATCCGAGCAATTCCATTTCATTCTCGCAATCAACGTTCTTTTTGCGAGACCTCGACTTGAATTTGGCAGCTCCGGGCGAGATTCGGATTTACTTGCTCGCAGCATACGTGGCTTGTCGGGAAAACCAAGCTGCAGGGATGTGCTGATAGCATCAAGACCAACACGTGCTACAGACATGGCCCATCCATTTCTTCTTTGACGACACAGCTTCGCCTCCACTATTGCTTGAACATCGGTTCCGAGCGTGGCGAACTCCCCAGCAACATTACGGAATGGCGGCTCTGGTGCTCAATGTGGTGATTGCAACAAGGAGGCACGGTCATGGCCATGTTTCGACATGTTCGGTGGCTCTATAATCTAATAAGAGTTTCCAACGCCGCCGCCGTGTTTGATGCTTTCTTTTTGGGGTCCCATCAACAAGAGCCGTTTCGCCAATCGCAGAGTGGCTTGGTGGTTTCCTGGTTACTTGCTCTTGGTGATCTGCTGCTATCGCAGAAAACGACGAGCGAACACACAGTCAAGCAGGCGTGCTTGTCATCTTGTTGCATCGTAAGGGAGGGGGTCCGCTCCAAGGTTTTTTCTGACCGGTTTCCAGAAAGAACTGTCCTGGAAGTATAGCCTGGGTGAGTCGGGTCCCCAACCAAACCATTAGCTCGTAAAAGTTGTTTGCATCGTCCCTGCACTTGTCGAGTTCTCCTCGAAAAACTTGGTTGATGCATAGGTGCTCCTGACAACTTGGAAAGAGTTCACGAACCCGGCCAGTTGATTACAGTGCTGCTGGAGCTGAGTGAACGCAAGGCCCAGAAGTTGTTGCCAGCGGCGTGCGTTGGAATGACGGCCGCCGGTCGTTCACCACACATGTGAACACCAATCTGCGAACCGTAAGCACCAACTCCAAGATGAACACGGCCAAGCTGGTGGTGTCCACTGTGCAGCCAGCATTGGTAAGTTGGGGCAAAGTTCTCACACGTTTCCGAGATTTAGCAGGGCTGGAGCTGACGTTCAAAGCCAAGCTTGTTCCAGAACGGAGCGGTGTTGGGCGCATGGAGCAAAGCCATGCGTTGGCCCTCTTGGGAGCACGCGGCGCGCTGGACACGAAAGAGATGAAGGCCCTGGATGACCAAGCTACTGCCGGCTCAAACACTGAGGATTTTCTGGAGGTGTGCCGGGTGACAGAGGTGCGTGCCAAGCGGGCACCTTTGCTGACGCTTGCCAATTTGGCGCGTGTGTCTGCGTTGCTAGGCGAGGATGTCTCGGCCGTAACGCTACAAGGCGCAGTCTGCAAGTTTATGCAAGTGCTCGCTTGCTTTGCTTGTGGCAAGACCTTTAGCCGAGCTCGAGAAGAAGATAGCAACCAGAAGTGGCATGTGTCCAGTCTCGGCCGCAAGCTGCTGAGACTGATGCGCAAGTTTCAGCAGAGTAGCGAGACGGCCACCAAATGCTGCGGTGATGGAAAAGCGCATAATTGAGTGTCCGTACTACGAAAGGCCGAAACTTCCTTTGATTAATGCAGCTGTTAGCTTGATTCACCCCGAATCCGCGGGGCCTTCACTCTCGAACATGGCATTGACATGGAATTTTCTCCCCGAAGTCGATGAACAATATCAATGCTTTTACCCGGCGTCAAGGAGATGGATGGACCCGATGTGTCCTCTTCCCAAAAAGGGGGACTTCCTGCAGGGACATACATGGACTGATTGTAACATAAGCTACTCAAGTTCGCACCTTGCGTGAAGGAGACAAGCCTTTTTTGGGTTATACAGACTTGTCATACCTTCTTGCTGTTTGGGGTCGAGGCTGGTGTAATTTTTCGGCCAGTCCCATATCTCCGGAAACACGCGCCGGAAATTTTGAGAACCCCCGTCACGCACAAGTTTAGTCTTTGGGTTCCATGTACCAAGGTGCCGTTTGGGATCCAATTTTTTTGAGCCACTTGAAGGCTACAAGTCCTTGGGCGGTCCGGAAGTTGCCCGAAAAACCCGGCGAGGCGTGTCCGCCCCAAAAACTTCCGCAAGGCCCGAGGCGCGTCCGAGCTGTCGCCTGGCCGAAGAAAGAAGAAAAAAAACGGAGCCGCCGGGAGCGGAAGGCGGAAGCACAAAGCCATCTCTGGCACAAAGAGAAGAGAAACGGAAACTGAACCCTAGGGTGTCAGAAGAGGGCAGGGGAGAAGGGCAGGGGAAAATCTGAACAGGAAGGGCAGGGGAAGAGAAGGGCAGGTTTCTAGGGTGTCAGCTGAAGCCCTCACAAAAAGGGAGGTTTCGGCTTTTGCGGACACGCTGCAGCCTCAAAAGTGTACGGAAGTTTCATCACCGTGCAGGCTGGGAGCCAGTGACCCATGTGATTTGAAAGGAATCCGTGAGTAACTGGTGAATCATTTGGGTAGGCCTGGCTTGCTCAGGGACCACAGGAAACTGGGTAGGTGCTATGGCTAAAACGTCTTTCCTCCATTTCTTGGCAGCGCCGAGGGAGTGGTGACAATGGGTCCCTGAGCGAACTGTCAGAGGGAGTTCCAAAGTCAATCAAACAAACACAACTTTGCTGAGCTGCAATGAGGGCATACAGCGAGCGACTTATCTGTGCGCCAACCGAAACCGGAAGAACCTACGTCACCAGGTGTGACTTGTTCCAGATCACAATGCAACATACCACCCGCCAAGTCTCCTCTAGGTCGCTCTGAGGCTCAAAAACGACAGTTGTAGCCCTCGCACTGTACATATCCTAGGCTGCTCAAAGGCAAGGGAGGGTTCAATCCGATTTGCCATGACCACACAACAACCCTCAACCCCGGGATGGCAGTGGTCTACCCAAATCCTTCGAGCCCCAAAAAGCCAAGCAGCCGGCCCCGACGAAACCAAAATTGACAGCCGTCTGCGGCTTGAGTCCATGGCCCCTGGAACAGTGTAACACGCAAAGGGGAGAAATACAGGGGCCGTGTTGTCCCGGACAAAACGACGAATGTCTCCTCAAGAGGACATGGCCAAAAAAGATTGGGCCGCCCCTCTGTGTTTCTGCATAAGATCCGAAGGCGACCCTTTAAACAGGGGGATGAGTTTCACTCCCCCTGTTTAAAAAAAAAAAAAAAAAAAAAAAAAAAAAAAAAAAAAAAAAAAAAAAAAAACGGCGTGTAGAAGAACATCTGCCTGGAGGAGTCGCTCGCCCCAAGCACGGCTGTCCCCAGATCCCCTGCTGAAAGTTTGACTTTTGGTACTAAAAAAAACGGAAGGGAAAAAAGGGGAACAAAGGGGGAAAAGAAGAAGAATAAGAAGGAGAAGCAAAAAGAAGAAAACAAAAAAAGGAGGGACTCGATGGTTCCGAATCACCAGGCAAACATTGGTGATGTGTGTTTTTAACTCACAAAAGGCCCAAAAAGAAGGAACCAAGACTGCAAAAGAAAGTTGCCCGGAGCATGTGGTTTGATGAAAACACAGAGGTTGTTGTTCAAAGAATGGGTGCTAACCAGCAACAGCTTGGAACTCCCAGAATTCCCACCCCAAACTTCCCTAAAGAGAGCCGGGAGCCGGACAAATGGCAGGTGACTGAAAACTAGGGGGAGCCAAGCGGGGGGGTAAATGGACCTTGCAGCTGTTCAAAGGAAAACCAAACGGACAAAATGGACACCCACCCGTTCGAGGACTCACCATCCTCCGGGAAAAAACAATCATCAAAACGCCACCCACAAAAAGTGGTGACGGTCCTTTTGGGTTTTTGCGTCTGTGTGTTGGCACATCTCTACCACACCCGCCCGTCCATCTGCCATAACACCCGGCGGCGCCGCTCTCGCTGCTCGAAGACCTGCGATGTTTTCTAATCTGGAGGCGGTGGTTGTTGCGGGTGCTATTTTGCGTGGATTTTTACAGAAATTGGGGGTGGTTTTTGCAGAAAGGTTAGGTTTGTTTGGGGTGGTTTTATTGAAAGGTTGGTTTGGGGGGACAAAATTGCTTGTTTTGGGGTGGCTTCACAGAAAGGTTTGTTTGGGGTGGTTGTCCAGAAAGGGAAACTACTACTGACTTTTGGAAAATGGTGCAGGTGTTTTAAGACAAGGGCCTACTTGGAATTTCAACCAACGTCGGGGTAAGTAGGAGGTAGCCGTAGCAAGGGGACTCACCCCATTTGGCCCTGTAACCATTGCCTTGGTGATGACCTACTAAGGTTGAATATCTAACTCGTAGATGAAAACCAAATGTATATGAACTGTAATTTGGTGTGGGGTTGTCCACAACCTTGTTTGAGGGGTGTCCTGTTGAAGTTCATAGCTGATTAGGTCATGGTCATAAGAAAATAATGTGCATAACCTCCTTCAAACCGTTTGATACAGTTCCTTGAGGAGCACGGTGGTGCGAAATCAACATGTTTTGTCAGAGCCAAAGCACAAAGTGCTTCCTTACGTGCTTCGTCACTTTGACAGTGGTTCCCCACAGAGTCGCAGAAAGTCGCGCTCAACCCCAGCTCTCCAAATCCATGTTGAAGAGGCTGTCTACACACTTTTCGGGGGACGTCATTTCGTCCATGGGGGTGGACCACAAAAAAGTGGGTTGGTTTCCGCTTGCTTTCAGTTGAAACATCATCCTTCATATACTAGTTCAGAGCCGTAGCAGGGGAAGTCGTTGCTCAAAAGTGAAATTGGTGACTCAAAGGTCACTTTCAGGGGCCCGGTTTCCATCAAGGATCATTCTCCCTTCACTTCCAGTGATGCTCTGAATTAGCATTGAAATATTGAGCGGTTCCTTGTCCTGGGTTGTTTGCAGTCACCGAGACATGAACAGAGCTAACAAAAAACGCCCCATGCCAAAGACTGTGAAGATCATGCAAAGAATCCGAACCAGAAAGACTTGCCAACGGCGACACATGTTCCCAGGCCAACATCGAGCTTCGAAGCCCAGAAACGTATCGAATCTTGAGGATTTCAACCCAGCCCCTGTCACCCCTGGGTGCAAATGAACCCTGGCCGTATCTGGGCCCCCGGCTTTTTCTTTCTCTTCTTATCCTTCTCCTTCTCCTGGCAAAAACAAACAAAAAAAAAACAGCAGAGGAGCTCTTATCTGGGAGTATCCTGGTTGTTGTTTTTTGCGTTTCCAGAGGAAAGGACTTCCAAGGGGCTTCGACCAGTGAAAATCCCATCTCGGGGGAGCCCACTAACGGTACCATCATGTCTCATGGGTGGGTGTGGTCTGGAGGGTACAGTACTGGAGAAATGGGTGCATCTTTTTTTTGGGAAAAACAGATTTTGGTTGGTGTCAAAGGCAAACCAAAGGAACCGCAAGGAACGAACAATATGTCCAACCGCAAGGAAAAGACCGAATTGGATCTTGCTTTTCCCCAAGCTGATGCTTGCAACCAGGGAAATGCCCTACCCCGCAAAAGCGTTGTTCGAGCGCATCGAAGACGTCCAGAGTGCATAGAAAGAATCCGCCGAATACTCTTCACTTCAGATGAATCGGAGGGCCACAGTACAGGGCGAAAGTAGATGGCATAAGTAACTAAAGGGATGGCTAAACAAAAATGGGTTGGATTTTTTCTTCACCATCTTTTACCGCAAAAACAAATGGGAAATACGAATGTATAATGGCCAACACGAAGAAAACGCGTTGCAGGGCAATGTCCTGTAATAAACCCTACAAACATCGAGAAATTCAAAGACCAACCCCTCCCCACCCCCCCCACCCCCCAACCCCCCCCCCCCCGAACCCCCCCCCCACCCCCGGGGCATAAATAAGGCTTTTGAAGGCCGAGTAAAGTCTGGATCTTCAAGAGGTTGCTGATGTTGGGACCTTTTCAGGAACTGTCGTGCACCCGACGGGCATTCCCGAATGGCTCCAAACAAACCCAGAGAGTTCCCAAGATCCACCCCCAAGAAACGATCCCCTGGGCATCCAATGGCAAAAAGCCAGGCCCCGAAGCAAAACTCCTGGAGCCGAAGCTTGGGGGACCAGATTCCGTCTGCCATTGACATGTGGGTGCGGCTCAAAATTTAAAAAAAGGAGGGGCAAGCCGCAGGTTTTGGTACCCATGTTTCCACTTACCAGGGCAAGCCATTTTGGAAAATTCTGGGTTTTTGAGCCATTGACCTGTGCCGCAAAGTTGAAGACACTCGCGCCTGGGGCATCGCCGCTCAGCTCTTCCGAAGCTCGATGCTTCCGGCGAATTGTGAGAAATCCTGCTCTTGCCGCCCGTCTTGCTGGAAAGACTTGGTGCTCGAAGAAATAGTCCAGCTCGTACCACTGATAAGTCACGTTGTGTCGCCAAGTCCCGCGGCGTGTGATGCGCGCAAAGGAATCCACGTGGCACACTTTTCGTGCCGACCAATCACGCGGGAATCTGCCACCCGTGGTGGTGTCGGTGGCCAAGCCACAGCGTGTACGACCGCCTATACGAAATACATGCTTCGGGGGCACGTCCCCACTCGCACATGGTAATTTCCCTTGAATGGAGCTGGGAAAAGAAAAAGAACTGTTTCGGGGTGTCTTTCTTAGGAATCAGACCCCAAAATAGCGGCTTTCTTTTTTGGTTTCCCTTTAAACTCACCGAAACAGGGTACCCAAAAGAAAAAGAAGACGAGCCGCCCCTCTAGAGCTACAGGACAAGTCAGGTCGATTGGTCCTTGGGCCCGAGTTTTACTTGCGATAGCCATAGCTCCAAGAGGAGCTTTGGGCACCCCGGGCAGGGGAATCTATTGATTTCCCAACATTGTTTTTGAGCGGTCGAAAGCATCGTACATATGGAAAAACGAGTATCTAGAAAACGGATTGGATGCGCTTGCTGTGGCATTTCACCTGTTCTTCCCCCTGTAGGTTCTGTTTTGGTATTCTTTTGGTACTCTTTTAATATCCAACGGGGGTGGATCCACCAAAACCACATCCAAACCGCTTCCTAGAGAGTAAATACCTTCATTGACTGGCCGAATATGTTGACACAAGAGTGGGGGGGGGCTGCCCCAAACATTAGGGACCCCTAGTTGGCGTGCAAAGGTTTCGCGAACTTGCCTTGGGGTGGTTGTTCCCTTTGCTCTTAAGCATCTCACTCTATCGGACCCAAACAAAAAGCTGTTTGTAGAGCCCGGCGGTTGAACATGCGGGGCCTTCTCTTTTTCCTTCTCCTTCTCCTTCTCCTTGCCGGGTCCAAGTTTCTCAGCCCACTGGGGGACCATCCAAGAAGGACATAATTGCGACTCAGGTGTGATTCTGTTACATAGTCTACCCTAAAACATTGAATGGCTTGGGAGAAGATTTTGGGAAATAACCCTTTCACTATGAGATACTTGTTATCACCGAACGTGGCGCTAAAGAGAGCCCAATTGTCGGAGGTAGCGCCATTTCCGCACCCGCCCCTTCCAGCACCCCTGGAAAAGGCGAAGGATTCAACCCATGGGCCCTCATTGAGCATGGCCAAGTCACAACTGGATCCCGCCCAAAGCCCATCAGCTCTTGGACCACAGCCCCCGTAAGTGAGTACAACAAACCAAAAGCAGTGCCAAGGTTCAACCAAACCGAGAAGGACACGTTCTTCTAATAGGGTTGTCAAAATCACGAGCCAATGCTGCTGTGTTCCTCTTGGTTTCCCTTTCATACCAAGCTTTAAAAAGGAGTACCCTAAACAACACAGTCACCCATGCTACATGGCTCGCAGGGATGCCGGCCTTGTCCTTCTTCTTGCGGCCGCTGCTATCTCGCCGCCGCCGGCTCTTGCTTCTGCTTTTGCCTCGGAGCGACCAAGAAGTCAGAAGGCGTGTCCCTAAACTGTAAGAACCACACACAAAACTTCCACTACCCCAAACGAGTTGGAAAAAAACCTACCCAGACGTGTCTGAAGCTTGCAAACTGAATGGACCCTTGCGCAATACCAGAAACCCTCCAAATGGCTGGCAACAAAACCAACAAGAGAAACAATGCCACGGCTGGGCAAATGGGCGCGCTCCGTGCTTCTCAGGGAACATGGTATCACCCGCCAATCATTCCCGAGGTACATTCATGGTGGGAAGGGCAAGCGCACGCTTCTCAAGCTCTGGTGTTGGAGCCTCATTCACTTATGATCATAGGTGGCCTTTTGGAAAATAGATGGGTTTCCCTGGTAAATGGAACAAAACCCATCTAAACCAGTGGAACCCATCTATTTTTAACCAGGCTCACCGATCAAAAGGACACCTATGGTTATGATATGCTTTAAACAAGTCCGATGACGAATTCTCGGATCCTTAAGTTGAGAAGTGGCCACAGTGAACATCCGATTCAATCCAACCACTCGACCAAAATGGGTGGTGAATTCCCAACATGGGATCCCAAAACGGTTTTGACAGCCACAGCCCAAGTAAAAAAAGAGCTCGCAAACCCCGAGTCATGACCCACTGTTCACTGCCACCAACATCCACTCTTACGATCAACAGCTCGCGTTTCGCGGGAACGTGGGATAAAACCCAACCATATGGACCCCAGGCCCGCCTAAATGAGAGTGATGTGGTTTGGTTCTACTAGAAGTAGTCATCGAGCAAAACTGTTCCGGGCAGACCCTGGGAAGAAAATCGAACATCGGCTGGTCATGTTGACCCCAGATCAATAGACCTGTCCTAGGGATAAGGGAAGCGGAAAAATACCCACGCTGATTCGATCACGGCGCTCAGAGCCCGATTTTTGACTGATCCCTAAACCAAAGGGGTTTTACCAACAGGGGATCCCTAGTTGCACATGGTTTACAGCAGTAGAGCCCCTCAAGAACTCAAGAAGTGCCCAGGACTGGCTCTAAATCGGGCCCCGGCTGCGACTGCTGCTGCTCCTCTTCCTCTTTCTGTCCTCGCTCATTCGCGCGACTCGAAAAATTGGGAACGTTCCCCCCAAGAGAACATGAGTCACAATCAAAACCCGGTATTAGAATGGTCGACCCAGAACCATGTAAAGAATAAAGAAGGCGTCCGCAGCTATTTATGGTTGGGATTGTCCCTTACTAACCTTCACTTACCCGGGTTTTGATTGTGACTCACATGGACGTGTCGGAGTTCGACTCCCGGTTTTTGTGCGGAACTTGGAGCCCGTCTCAATCATTTCCACTGGACCTGTCGATGGTGACTCGAGTTCTTCCACTTTATGAACCCGGGCCTCGAGTCGGTTTGCCAGTGGCTCAGACCCCAACCTTTGGGACGGGGTCTGATGGTTCAGCGAATGCTGGGGAAGCCGGGCTCCCATCATGGGGAAAAGCATCTGCGATTTCCTAGTACCCAGACGTGTATGGACTTTGGAATCTTAACTTTGCGGTTCATTGATTCCTTGCTAAGCGTTAAAGGCTTCAAAGGATTACTGGGACGTAGCATACGACCCCTCTGAACACTAGAACTTAGCAAAAGTTCAAGGAACCGTACGGCTGGAAGCCAAGTCAGCTGTTAACTGGGCTGGTCCCGGTATCGATCCCATCTACACAACTCGCACTCCTTCCGCACATCTGCGTAAGGAAAAGAAAGGCCAAACATCAGCTCATGTTCCCCCCAAAAGCGGTGAGCCCGCCATCCCCCCCCTTCTCGTGCCGCGAAATCGAAATCGTCCCGGCTCCTTGCGGCGACTCCGGCTGCGGCTCCTGCTGCCGCTGCCTCGCAATCGCGCTTGCGATCGGCCCGTCTCCCGGAAGATGTCTGAACCAATATGGTTGTGTGTATGTTGCTTCTTTTTGTTTTGTTTCTCATTTGTGGAAAAGTGTTTTTGGTTGTCTGCTTTTGATACGCTTTTCCCCCCGAAGGCAACCCCTTGTCTGATTGGTTCAATGTGTTAATCGGTTCATCACAAAGAAAAAGCCACTCTTCGGGCGCTTTCGGCAGCGGCTTCTGCGAGGTTTTTCATTGAGGGCTTCAAAAACTGCGGGAGTTTGCCGAGGCCAGTTGTTCTTTGGCAGGCGTGGCCGCAGAGAGGTTCCCCTACTTACGGTAGCGGTGGTTTGGAGCTGGTGGCCGGTGTCCCGGTGTCCCCCTGCGCCCAGTGAACCTTGCATGTGTTCCGGGGTTGTCTATTTATGTTGAGAAACTGATCGCCACCGCAAAAAAAAGAAACAAATAAGGAGGAAAACAAAAGAGGGAGAAAAAAAAAGAAGAAAAAAAACAGATGAGAAAAACAACAGTTTTGCCTTGTCCAAAAGTGCCATCAGGGCCCCGACTGCTTCTCCTCCTGCGCCGGCTCTTACTCTTCTTGCGCCGGCCTCGGCGACAAAGGCGCCCAATGAGGTCTTGGTGGCGAAACCCAAAGCTTTGAGGCGAAAAAATCAACCCTGGGTGAAAAATTCAGCAACTCCCTCCATTTCCTTGAGGCCCCAAGGAAAAAAGAATGTCCAGGAATGAGTGATCCATTCCCTTTAAAACCAACAGGGGAAGAAAAAAAGACAAGAAGATTCTTCAGCAAATGGAAGATTCGGGGCTTGGAAACGCGGGTCCGTCCCTAAACGGACACATGTGGGACTTCTTTGGGGAGCCCGGGACCACAACTAAGAGGATAGGCCCCAGGCCACATGAAAGGAGTTGGGGGAGGGATCTTGCGGCAGGTGTCCGTGGAGAAGGCTCATGGAGCCCGATATTTTTGAGTCACCGTGAATGATCTGTGGCGTTGGCGTCGGGGACTTGTTTGGGGGCATCAGGGATCCGACAAGGAAGCCCAGCTAAATACACCCGTGGCTGCCTCTCAGGTTAATGATGCCTTCCTGACTCACTGAAAATTGGAGTTGCTTGGCTTAGAAACCTGGTGTTCGAAAATAGGTCCAAGAAGACGTAGACATGCATGTCCATATATATATATATAAACATATACATATATATATATAGACATATATATATGTGCATATATATATATATACATATATATATATATATATTATGTGGTATATTTCTATTTTGGTACGTGGGAGGTGTGAAAATGCGCGTCTTAAGCAGGAGCCAACACAAAGAGCGAGCCGCTTCACAGCGACGCCTCCTTCGCGCGAGCTGGGCCCCCCGGCTACTGCTGTCCTTGCGCTTGCTGCGGGAGCGGCGCTTGCTCCTTGCGTCACATGTCTCGTCTGGGGGAGGATATCAAATACATCATTGGGCTTCATGCCCCCCAACCATTTCGAGGGTCCTTGTTGCGCTTCAAACCACCCGCACTTCTGAAAGCGAGGGGTGTGTTTTTTGGATGTTTTGCCCGCCTTTCGCGAAGCCCGCCTAAAAAACCGCAGGCGGGCTTCCGCTTTAACTGTCCTCCAATCAAAGCTGAAAGGCTCAGTTTTGTCTGAAGGCCTCCCCCAGACCACTTCCATTGGAAACTTCCGCGGGGAAGCAAGGGCCTCCAACTTACAGGAACAGTCCGGAGTCAGTCACCTGTCGAGAGGAAACGGAAAACAAACCTTTTGCCCAGCGCGATCCCAGCGAACTCATATCTTCCAAGCTGGCTTCCCTCACCAACCTGAAAGGGTAGCCGCGCTTGCTCTCTTGGCAGATTCACATCACGCACATATGCTTCATCGCATTGAACCGTGTTTTGTTCATATTCGCTCGCTTTGAAACGATCCCGCAACCAGGGCACTCAGGAATGACCAAAAAAAAGAGAAGCAGAGCCACTTCGACTCCCTCCCCCCTCATTGGGGCGCATCCACCTAGAGGCTTCCCCTTTTGGCGATGTCTGTTCCAGGAAAGCCGGGCAGGTTGGAACCCTTCGCGGCATGCGGAGGAAGCAGAGCTGCCTGTCTTGGGGGGATGTGGTGCCCTGTGATCAGCGCATGGGCGGCTCAAAATCAAAGAGCTAGGGGTACGCAGGATTTAGTCTTTGGATTCCATGTACCCAGGTGCCATTTGGGATCCAATTTTTGAGCCACAGCCACGTGTCTTGTTGGCTCCTCCCAGATCAAAACTGGTTGAAAATGCCCTGGAACCCCATCCAAAAGCTAGCGATTCGGGTGGAGGTACCTTGCCGTTTGGCGAAAGAGGAACCTGCGGGTTCGAATCCAAATTTAATTGCCAAGCCCAACCAAACAATCGGGTGGCTTGCCTCAACCCTTCCGGCCAGCAAGAACTTCCCTCAAAGGCCAAGCAAGGCCCAAGAAGATGCACGAGGGCCAAATAAAGCCTTAAGGCTGGTGGCAGGATCTGCGGGACTCTAACATGAGAATTAAGTGCTCAGGACATCCAAACGATTTCATCTGCATCCCGCAAAGGCCAGAAATCTTTTGAGAGACTTCCCCCCCTCCCCACACGCCACGGGCGGCGCTCGCGCGAGCGTGAGCGAAAGCGCGCCTACGACCCCGACTTCGGCCTGGGCAAGCTGACAGCAAAACTCAACCCGGGAATGCGGCAGTTGTCCCTTCGTCAGACAACCAACAATGCTTTCCCAACAATTCTATTGGTTGATTCCTTTTCCACTCTTTTCAACCATCGTTCTTTCCAAAAAACGGATCCGTTTTCCCTGAGTTTACGAGGGGTTTTCTAGAAAGAAGGATCCCTGGAAAGAATGGGAAAGGTACCCCTGACAAGCCTCTAGGCCTATTGAGCACTCGGCACCAGCCATGTCAACATGAAGGAAAGAAGCGCTGTGTGCCCAATCGCTTTGGAGTCTCTGGGGGCGCACTCTGAAACTGACCAGCCTTTACCGTGCAAGGGGCGGAAGTCAAAACTCGCAAATCTCCTTGCTCATTGCATGTCTCTCCTTTGCCTCCTTGGCACCTTGGTTCTAGGACGTTTCAGGTGGGACTCAAAGAATCTGCGCCTGTATCTAGGCTTGTGATGACGGGACTTTTGCTCATGATGCAAAGATCCGTAGCCATCTCTGGCAACCCCAAGGAAATATTGACAACCAACCCAAGACGCAAAACAACCAAACAAAAGCCTTGGAGGCTATTGAGCAGCATGCCCCAAAAAACAATGCCCCTTGAAGGTGGTCGCTGTTCATCTGGCTTCCCTTCGCGGATGGGACATGGCCGAAATCGAGTTCTCAGTCTCGCCAAATGGGCGGGCCCGGTTTCCCGTTGGCGTACCCCAAGTGACCCTCAAAGGGCCCCAGGCGACACGAATCTGAAAGTGATAGACTTCACTCCGATTCAAGGCTGAGCTTGCCGCCGTTTCTCCCGTGCGGGCCCTGTGAAATGGGTCCCCAGCCATGCAAAGCGCCTTTTTGGGTACCCTCTTGGGCTTTGAAGATATCCAATGCGAAATGCGCCATTTTTTGGGGGAAAAAGCCGCGCCAAGATCGGGGCTGCGGCTCTTCTTCCGCTTGCTGCGGCTGCGGGAGCGTTTTCGGGAGCGGCTGCGCTTCCTGGCAATGCTCGTGTCTTCGAACCCTAAACAACCGCCACGTGTTTGCTTGTTCATTGTTTTTCTTTGGGAGGAGATGGGCAAAGAACAACAGATTACTCCAATAAGAGGCAACCGGACAACAACGCGAGACGGCAAGCCGGCAAGAGAGCAAGTTGCCAACCCTCTGACTCACACCTCCAGTGGCCAGGAAAACGGGGCGAGCCGGTTTGGTTGGTTGACGTTGCACCAAAACAACTAATGAGTGTAATCCCCGGGTGTAGAACGTCCTAAAGCCAGGGAAACGTTCTACGAGTGATGCCCCATTCTCATTTTGTTGGAGCGCGGGAATGCATACGTTTGCCCGGGCTGGCGCATGAGCCAAGTCTGAAGGAACTTCTGGCGGTTCCTAAGGCGACGCTCGTACCGACGGATTGCGCTGAACGGCTCGACGGCAGGGAGCCACGGAGCCCACAGCAGCTTGAAAGCCTGCAGAACGCCGCCAAAGGCTTGCAGAACCTCCAAACGTGGCAACTCAAAGATAAGACCTTCATGCCCGCCTGAAAGACCTCGGCTTTTTTCCTGTGCCGAGTCCTGGAAGACCATTTTCCTTTCGAAGGGACCCAATGGGTTCCATACAACAGGAGGGTAGCTTCATGTTCAAGGCTCAGTTCAGAGCTCTTGACAGTGGCACCTCCTCCTTTGCAAGGGCTGGAATCCGTCTTTTTGAGGGACAAAATATGAGGCTGTTTGATTTGTCCGGGGTGCAAATTCTGCCTCTTTCTGGGATACCGCTTAGAGGGGGTGCCCCACACGTCTGCCCGTCTAACCCGTCGACTCGTCTGCCTCTTGCTGCCGCTGCGTGATCGCTTGCGGCGGCTGCTGCTGCGCTTGCGGCTGCGCTTGGACTTCTTGCTCACACTTCCTTGGCCGCGTCAGAGTCCCGACTTCCCACAAAAAAGGAGGTCAAAACAAGCGCCTGAACCTGTTTTGGCATTCCTGGGGCCATGGTCCCGACTCCCCGGAAAAGAAAAGAGGTTCAAAACAGGCACCTGGACCGGATATGGCCATGGGTCAAAAGCCAAATCGTACCCCCAGTGAACATCCGATTCAATCCCCACTAGACTAAAATGGGTGGTGCACCTACCCCAAAATGGGATCCCATTGGTTTTGACCCGCAGCCATAGATCGGATCTGCACACGGATCTCCGAACGCTCTGGGGTCCTGCAACTGTTCCCTGAATGAATCTTGAACCAGGAATGACTTCCGGACGGGGTTTTGGCAACAGGACTCCACGGAGTGTTCAAAGGTCCCGGTTCCTGGGGTTCCCTTCCGGCTTCCCTCATTCCCTTGGCCATGTCTACCAGCTTGAGACGCTTCACGGGCCCGCAAAAAGCCCAGTTTCGTTGGACCTCGCTGGTTCCAACCCGCAAACCTGTTTCAGGGGACCCTCGATTGGGATTTCTCCAAAACCATCGGGTCATAAACAAAGCGTCCCCCCGATTGGGGATGGTTCACCCGTGTAAAGAACACCTCCCAAACTCTACCAGGTACTCTTGCTTGATGAAACATCCGCGCTATGTGTCTAACCCGGGAAAATTGGATGGTTCCTGTGGTTGCCCTCAAAAGAGCCAAGGGCTTTGTTGAAAAGGTAAAAGGGCCACCCACAAAAGAAATCACACACCCAAGCACCAAGAGTTTGAAACGTGCCAGTGCCAACTCAGCAGGCGTTCGAAATTTGAAACCGGAGTTAACATGAAGAACTCCGTGGTGCAGACCATCAGGGTTCCTTCAGGAATCCTTACAGTGGTTGTCTCTAGGGCCCTAGGGGTCCATGAGCATCAAGCAGAGGAACGGCTCTCCTTCGACCGTGGCACACGTCTACCTGAATGGCAATGAGCTCAAGATCTGCACAGAGTGAGAAGACTTCAGGTTCGATGCGGGTCCGAAGTTCTCGAGTGAAAGCTTTAGGGCTGGCCACAGATCTGTGTCAAGCGGGAGTTTGTTGAGAAACTACAAGATCCCATTTCTCGCTGGCGATTTGGTGAATCCCAATGGCTTCCCTTTGATGCTAACCCCGGATGAATGAACCTTTCTCATCGGGGGTGTCCCGTTTTAGCAGTTGAATCCAGATCACAAAATTGTGGGCGACACTCCTCCCCCCCCCCTCCCGAGCAAGTCAGTAGGATGGGTTCATTTTGTTCGGGGTTCCCATGTCACCGAAAGCAAAGCCAAGGCGCTGCTCTTCTCCTTCTCCTTCTCTCCATCCTCGGTCTCGCCCTTCTCGCCCTGACCGGGCGCTCAAAGCACCCGTAGCTACGAGAATCGGGCGGGTGATTTCACCCAAAACGGGCCAAGGTGAAGGGTGCGCACCATGCACACCACACCTTGTCGCCAGAGTGATTCTCAAAATGGCGGACCCGTACAAATTGGTTTTGTCTTGGCCTCCATTTGCAACTTTCCAGACTCTCAAGGCTTCCAAAATACAAATCTCCAAACCCATCCCAAGCATTTGAGAGCAACCAGCCAACTGAGTTGCTCTTTTTCCTGGCTGCAAAAGCTCCGAATCTTCTGGTTTCAAAAAAAAACACGCCGAATCCGTTTCCCAAAAAAAGACGGTCTCGATCCCGCCCCGTCTTTTGGCCTCGCACTCCCGGCCAGAAGCGACCAAGCCGCGGCCTGCTTGGCGACCAGCTCGTCCTTCTCCTTGCTCGTGATGCACTTGACCTCGGATAGTAAAAAAAAAGAAAACTGAGGTGGTGAGGTCGAGGTGTATATGTGGGGGGGACCATATATATTTATATAGATATAGATATTTGTATATATAGATATAGATATATACTTCTATATGTATACATGTATATACACATATATGGGAGTCCCCCCACCCAAAGAACAATCAGAGACAACTCCCTGGCAGTTGCACTACGTTGAGCCTTTTGGCCGAAAAACGGGCAAAAGAAAGTCTGGAAGCTCCCCTCCGAGTCCAAAACTGACAAACTGAAAGTCTCCCAGGTGAAAGGTATGGCAACTCCATCTTTGTCGTGTTTTCCCGTTTTCAATTTTGTGCAGCTTGTTCTGTTCTCCGGACAGATGTCCCAGAGTGTGGTGGCTCACATGGGCATCAAGCTACTACGGAACAAAACTGACAGACAAACATATATATATATATGATATATGCTATATGGAGTATTCAGCGAATATGTAAGGAAGTGCTGAGTGCAATAAAGTAGTCGCTGAGTGCAATAAAGTAGTCATGGAGAAAAATGTTGACATGTGAGGCGAATTGTAGCAACATTGCCGGCGGCAAGTCAGGGATCCACACGAATGTTCTGCACATATGTGAAGAGATATGTTGAAAGCCTTGCTGCGACTTTTATGAGTTTGGAAACGCAAGCTATGTCAAAAGCAGGATGTTGAACATGATTAAAGCTTCAAGAGTTTGCTATGAAACCACTATCTGCGCATTGCTGATATGTCAGTACTGTTGAGTCAAGTCTGCCTTTTTTCCAGACCTTCCAAACTTGAGCATCTTGCTGCCCATGCATCTGCACAAACCAAATGGCTTCAAGCCCGGCCCTTTCACGGGCTTTTGACATTGACAATTGAAGAGTCTCAGGACTCTAATTTTCAAACTTTCAATGCAGACTCTACAGCCCTAAGAAAACTATTTGCAGGAAGTCAGGAAGATGACTGCCAAGCTGAAAGAGACAAGCAGGAGATAAGCGAGATATCGGCTGGCACTTGGAGTAGCTATTGCTGGTTCGCAACAGGGACCCCTCCGCTACTCCTTGTTGTGAAGAGTACCGGGTGGGTGCGCGTGCTCGACTTGACGGTTTGATCAAAGCAACAAACCACAATGAACGAAGGGGAAACAAATCGAAACACGACAACAACAAAAAACAGCAGCAACAACAACAGCTGCAACGGCAGCAGCAGCAGCAGCAGCAGCAGCAGCAGCACGAAAAGAACTGGAAAAACCAAAAAAAAATGCGAAAATGGAAAAACAAACCCAAAAAGAACACATGGAAGGATTAACACCACAAGTGATCTGGACATGCACAAACTGGGCTTGCTTTTCACCGCACTGGGAGCCCCAGGCGGACAAAGGCGACGGTGCCCCGAGGTCCTTGCCGTCCAGCTCCTGAGGTCAGGTCGGTGCAAGGGGGGTGAGCTGGGAGTCCGGGGGGTAGGTGGCCTTTTGGGAAAAAAAATCGATGGGCTTCCCTGGTAAATAAAGCAGACACCCCATTAAAAGTGGCAAATGGGGCAACCAACCATCGAAACCAGGGCCCTCATTTTTAGTTCAAGCAAGCCGACCAAAAAGGACACCTATGCCTAGGGCTCCTTTTTGTGAATTCTTTGGGGTGTTCGATGGAAAAACTCGGGAGGGAAGGCTCTTTCGGGAGGGACCGCCCCCCCTTACAAGCTCCAAAAGTTGGGGTCGATAGAATTGGTCCCAGGGTTGCCCATCTTTCCCCTGACAAACACGCCAAAAGCAAACTCGCTTTGGCCCCGCAAATCGGGGCAATGTCTCTAAAGCCACTTGTACGGGGAAAAAAAAGTGCGACGTCTCCAAAACAACTTTTTTTGAAAAAAAAAACAAAAACAAAAAAGACCGGAAGAAAACCAAAAAGAAAGGCTCGCGAGCGGAACCAAATTCCCGGCGCTTTTTCGCGCCTTCTTCAAAGAGATGGCCTCCCACTTCGTGCCACACCTCGGTGCGCCAGGTTTTTTGGGTGTCCCGAAATCGGCGGCGGACTTTTGGGGGGGAACACGGCTCCTGGGTTTCCCGAGATTAGAGGATCTTTTGGGGGAACACGAACCAAAGTTCCAAGAAACAGCAAGAGTACCCTCCAGCGAAGCGCCATTGTTGTGAAAATTGGAGTCTGCCATACTCAGCTCACCCCTTTGAATTGGTTCGAGGGCCCTCAATTGACTCCGATGAATGGAAGGAACAACCTCCCAAAAAAAATGGATCGAATATGAAGGAATCTGCGAGGGGAAGGGACACACCCAACCATGGGTTTGTTCCCTTAATGAGGTCGGTGACTGGTCCCCGCAACTACTTGGGTGGCTCTTGCTTCTCCTGCTTCTCTTTTTGCCGGAAACACGGCGCTTGCCAATTCGGCCCGTAATTTTACATGCACGGCCCTAGGCCGTAATTCTGGCAGTGAGGCTTACGTTTTTGTGGCCAATCTTCACATCCACGAGATGCGATTGCACCCAGCCACGTCAGGCACCAACTGCGTAAGTTCCACGAAGGAAGTGGAGCCGCCGGTGTGCGGTGATCAATCACTCTGCGCTCAAGCCACTGAGAGAGGATGAAGTTCTCGTTCTTGGAGTCCTGCTCGATCGCCGCGAATGCTTCGCAAAGGCTTCCAAAGCTCAGCGCCTTGTACGGCCCGGCTGTGTCACTTGGCTCTGGGCGCACCACCCACGGCTCACCACGCACACTTTCCACAATTCCGCGGGAGCGCGCTGAGGACCTGTTCAGGTCACTGTCCCATTCCTAGAATTCAAAACGCTGTGGCGCAAGCCCGTTGGGTTGTGACAGCCAGAATGCAGAAACAGTCAAGTTGACCAGTTGGGATCGCTACAAATGGGGTTGGACACGGTGCAGCGGGTCCGGCCGCAAATTCGGGAAGAACTCCCCTGAAGCAGAGAAAAGGCGTCGAGAACCTAAAAAGTCCATGGAACACACATCCAATGTTCAACCAGCTTAAGAAGGTTATGACTCCTATGGGGACTGACTCACTGACCCTGGCTACTCCAGTTATATCCATGGTTTCCACCGGCCAAGCTGGTTGAAGATCGATTCAGTTGAGTACCTGTTTGAAGAAACACCCAGGCCCAAGCCTGGCACGCGGACCCCAGGACTTAGGTTCAGAGCCGGAGGTTGAACGTCCCGAACTCAAAAAAAGGCTTTATGTGGGCATTGTGAGGTTGCTTAAACCCGAAAAAAGTTCGGCCACGTGTTTATTGTTTTTTCTCCCCGGAGGTAAAGGATAGATGTTAAAACTGCTCGCCCGCCATGCTGGCCAACCCGCACTACCTCCCAGCGGTTGCCTTCACGGCTCGCGCGAGCCGAGCGCACCCCTTGGGCGCGGGGCTCTGCTAAGCACCAGCCTCGGGTGGAGCGCGGGGGAGCTTCTCATGGAGCCCCGGGGCAAGTTCCTCTAGTCCGTTCACAAGGGGAAACCCCCTTGCGTTCCTCTGGTCCATAGGACCTCCATAGGGTTTGCGTTTTTTATATGGGGAAACAGAAGAATCTCCTTGCCAGTTTTTGTGGATGCGGTGAAAGGAATCAAACGAAGTCCTGGGTTTGGGGCTGGATACCCATCAATGTTCACACATAAGACCCATCCAACCCACGCAATGCGGGTTCAGGTTCCAAGGTGAGGAATCTTTCTGGGTCACAAAAAATAGTTCCGCTGAAGGCACCTCCAATTGACTGGGAGGACCCCGCCATAGCCAACCTTGTCAGGCAATGACGAAACGTTGAGAGCAAACTCCACGAAACGGTGACCCTTTCTGGGGACCACTGCACGAATCTGCCTTGACTATCTGCTGGCCCGCCGCTTAGTGCTGCCCCCGTGCCATGCCGGATGTCTGTACAGCCTGGTGCAACCATCACGTTGCTTGCTTGCTTGCTTGCTTGCTTGCTGGCTGGCTGGCTGGCTGGCTGGCTGGCTGGCTGGCTGGCTGGCTGCATGGCTGGCTGGATGGACAGATGGACCAGGTCAACGCACGCCCTAAGCGCCTTGGCGCATTGACGCCACGCGAGCAGCGCGCAACTCGTGCTGCGTCCGGTTCCATGTTCAGCCACCGCTTTTCCTCGTGGCTTTTCGCGCAGGAACACAGAGATGCATGTTCGGCGCTGCATGCAAGAGCATGATCTTCTGAAAAGGAATCTGGGCTTCATGCAAGCCCCCCCGGAATTGGGCAACATTTGCTACGTCGCCTTCAAAGACAAAACTCGTCGCAAGTCTACTGAGTAACGAGGGATTGTCCCTTTCCCCTTTTCATTCTGGTTTCCCCTGGTCCCCTACTACTTTGCAAGGGCCTCCGACCGATACTGAGGTCTGCTTTGGTGGCCTGGACCTTTGGTACTTCCCCGATAGAATTGAAAAGAAACTGGGGAATCCACAAACTGCTGACCAATCCAAACCTGCACAACTTCGAAACCAACCAACAAGGGGCACCCTAAAACAGGCCCAAATCCAAACCACCCCCAAAGGCTTGCCCGAGCGAGAGCCCGGCGCTCTTGCCCCTTCTTCCAGCCGAAGAAGGACGCGCGCACCACGTCTCCGTGGAGGTGGAACTGCTTGAACCACATGTAGCCTGAAACACCGGCCAGTCGGTAGTCGGTGGGAAAAGTGCGCCAAAAAAACGGATGAACAACCAGATAAACAGAAAGGCTCAGGTGGTATAGCCGACCCCGGCACACATTTGAGAGCATTTTCAGCTGGGGAGAAGAAAAAAAAAGAAGAAACAAAAAAGTATTGCCCTCCAACTCTGGGGTACATCCAAAATCATATGTTCAGATTCTGCTTCATACTTAGTCTATCCTACAATGTAAGACAAATTTGGAGGAGACCCCAGTGGGGATGAACATAACAAAAAATGCAACAGTGAAGCAAACCAGGACCCAAGACAGGCACTTGAAGTGGAGATCTCGAATCCAAAACAGAGACTGCCTCGCTGGTCATAAAGCATGTTTCTGTTTATAGGTAAATGACGAGAACCAAACTGAAACATGAGCCATCTCGTTTCAACCAATCAAACCTAAGCGCCCATGAAGCAAACATCTAAAACAATCAAACAACTACCAAAAAAGGCATTCGAGATACAAAAGGTCACCTCGGTCAAGGCCTGGTACTAAACCGGTCCCCCCAAACCAATCAAAAAAAAGCTAAGGCGGCCGCGCCTATTTCTGGCTGGGACTGGGGTAGGTCTTTCTTTGAGGCCCCTTTGTTGGTTGGTTTTAAAGGAACCACCAAAAGGACAACCACCATACAAGAATGACCGACCACCTTGGATCCAAGGAAGGCCCAAAGGTCACATGTCCGGTTCTTGGGACGCGGCTCTTTGCATCATCCGGCAGGTTCCTGGCACGGAAACCCATGTGAAACCGATCGGGTCCAGGCTGGTGAGGGGCCAGCGATGAGTCTAGGGCCCCCCAAATGGACCGCTTCTTTGCGGGTAGGCAGAACGCACTTCCGCGGGCGATGCGCGGACTTTGAGAGTGTGTGCCGCCGTGTCCGCGAACTCGGGGAACGGGGTCGGCACACCATCTAAGAAACAAGCAAAACCAAAAATATCCAAGCTCGTCAAATGCCCACCAAAAAGCATTCGGATCCGATTTCCCAGATGCTTCTGGGAAACCCATCTACTTTTTGGGGCACCCAAAGCATTCAAACTTAGACTTCTGGGGCTTCCAGTGACCAACTCACTAGCCTGGGATGGCAAGCAAGAGAGATGCTGGAGCTCCACCACCCCACCCCCCCTCCCCCAAGCAGGACTCTTCCTCTACCAAAACGTATGCAAGGCAAAAGTGTTTGTTGGTTTGTTGTTTAGGTTCCTTCCCTTCACGAACCCGTCCGACGTACTCAAACCCCCTAGGATGGGCCCACCACAGCGGGCAGAAATATGATATGCTACCAGCAAGGGGCATGCGATTTGGTTCACTTGGTGAAAGTAGATGGCACAACTCCAACCCAACCCACATAAAGGCAATGGTCCCTCCTACTTTCACCCTGGTGTGGGAATCCCCGCTAGGTTGTGCGGGACATTCAGTGGCTCCTCCCACCTTCCCGTCCATGTCAGCCATGGCTGTGATAGGAACCCTATGAGGGTTGGTCTGCTTTTAACTCACCCTCTAGCTGCATTTCACGCTGCGAAGCCCGAAAAAAAGTATGGGAGCCACCAAAAAAGTATTCATGCCCCCGATGACATTCGATTTTGGGTGACCAACCCCCTTGCCCCAATGGCAATTTGGTGAGTGCACCAAACGTCATCCCTTTACAACATCACATGACAGCAAACATTTCACCATTGCCCAAGTGATAGCTTTGACAGAACCCTTGTTGGAGGGGACCCGATTTGCCGCTGTGTTGAAAGGAAGCCAAGGCCAACTACTCATTTTGAAATCCCCTTGCTTAGAGACAGCCCCAAGCAAGACAAACCAAGCCACAATCACAACCCGGACAAGAAGTGAGCAAAAAGAAAATTCCAATAGATAAGTGCTACTTTCTATTGTGATTCTTTGTATGGTTGTTGAGTAAAACTCCTTGACATGACAGACCTTTTGGCAAAATAGATGGCCCTGGTAAATAGAACGAAACCACTCTACACCACTGGAACCCATCTATTTCGAGCCAAACCCACCGACTCAAAGGACACCTACTGCGGTTTCAACGTGGTGCAGGGATTCCCCAACGTAAATGCCAACAAAAACAGTGGTTTCAACCACTGGTTTCTTAGGTGGTGCGAAATGGATTCCGTCCACCCAGAGTATGCCTATGCTCATAGGTGGCCTTTTGCAAAAAGAACAAATGGCCCTGGTAAAACCCCATCTAAACCAGGGCCCTCTATTCTTTAAGCAAACCAACCAAAAAGGACACCTATGACTATGCTCCTCGAGTACCAGGTTCTGATCATCTCACCTGCCCATCTCACGTGCCTCACGTAGAGCCACTTGGGGCTATCCTCCTCGCCGTTGGTGGCCATGACTCACCAACGGCGTGCGCCCCTAGGCGGTCCGGCGCGCTGAAGAAACCGCCCAGGCACTGGGAGGTACCTCCAATTGGAGCCTGCCCAAAATTTTTGAGAAACCTAAAATTGGCACTGGGTTTCCCCAATTGGCTGTGGCAAAAAGTTGGATGCCAAAATGGCCCCTAGGCAAATGGAAACCAAGACCGACACCTGCGTAACCCTAGCTGTGAAAAATCTTGAGCCACACCCAATTGCAGCTACCCCCAAAAAAAACCGCGGCCTTGGAATCAGCCGCTGGACATCGATCGGAGATAACCCAACAACGGACGGCGATCCGCCCTGCTCCTTAGAATGCCTCTCTGGTCTCGGAGACTCTCACGCCAACCAGAAGCTGCAACCAGATCCTCCAGAATAGAGCTTAGAATCTTTGTCCTCCCCTCAAAAGTGGGTAAAAGGGCAAGCCAATGCGGGCTTTACAACACAGCAATGATTGTTTCTATTGGTCGGATTGGGAAGGCAGGTGTCTGATTTCTCTTTAAGAAAGGGTGTGTGTGTGTGTGTAGTCAGCGCAGAAGCGGGCACCCTTCAACCAACAAGCATGGTGTGGTTAAGGACACTAGACCATGTTTGTGACCTAGAAGAAAGATCGTCTTCCAGGCTCACAAGCTCAGGGCTCAAATCCCATTGGCATGTGGCTCTGTCTTGAAAGGTGCCCTTCGGGCTGCTTTGTAGGAGAAATTCCAATGGAAAAAAAATGGCCTACTTTTAAAGTCCCCTACTTTAACACACATACACCACACATTTCAGTTGGTGGGACTTTTTGGCTCCCTTCATTTACATGGGGCTTTATGTCACGTCTGCCAACCATAGGGTCCAAAGGGGCCTGCAGTCTGACAGGTTCTATGTTGGCAGCTTTTGTTCTCCGCAACCAGCCGCTACTCAACACAAACACCCATGTTGAAGTTCGCAAACCTGCAAATGCAAAAGCTTGGACTAAGAATCAGAGCCATGCTGCTCTTTTGTTCTCTAAGGCAAACCAAAAACCAAATCTGAGAAGCCGAGCGTTGTTTTGTGGCTTTAAAGGAATACCCCATCCCCACCAAAAGACGAGCCACCCATGGCGTCCCACTGGACCTGCCCAGGACCCGAAACCGAAAGCCGCGAGCGAGCCTCTACGCCGAAGCTGCCCTTCAGCGCGAGACCTGGCCGGGGCCGATTCCCCCCGAGTCCAGGAGGGTTTCATGGCCTGTCTCTTTGTTTTGGGGGGCCCAAAGAAGTGGCACAAAACACCAACAAAGACGCGTGTCTGGACGAAAAGCCTCAAAGAAATGCAGACCCTGAGGCCCCCTGATTCACCAGGGCTGCAACCCATTGAGGGTCGTTGCGGCCCACACCCCGTCTCTACTCAAATCCGGGTCGACGGGAAGATCCTTTCCTTTCGGCTTGTCGCAAATGGTGGAGACGCTTCTCGGGCTTCACTCTTGCCGCTGTTTTCACAGCGTTCTGTTCATGTTGAGCGGGGAGCTACACAGAACATGTGTTTTTTTTTGTCCGCACCGAACGTTCATTGTCTAGGGGGGGGCGTACAAACATGTGGCTTTGTGGCTAACACACCGTTCGAGTTGGAACCCTTTTGGAACATTCAAAGACGGTTTCCACCCGCAAACCGGCATCAGCGTTTTTGGGGATGGCCCAGTTTCCATCTTCGGTTTGGACCATTCTCCTTTTCCAGCGACCTGTCAGGTTCTCTGTTTATTGGTGGGAGCGTAAGTTCAGGTGAGAGCCAACTCCTTCGAAATCGGACAAGAGCGAGGTCCGATTTCGGAAGCCATCCCAACTTTGCGGAGACCCGACTCTATGGCTTCGCTGGGCTTTGGGGTCTGTCCATTTGGGGTAGGCAAGTTGGGCCTTAGATGAACAAACCCTCTCCTCTGGATTCATTTGGGGCAGGGTTGCCTCTGAAACGAAACACACACACACACACACACTGACGAATCAACCAGGGGCTTACCAATCCTCGGTTCCCATATTCCAAGTTGTCTGGCTGAATTCATCGCAACTCTCCTCAGGCCGCAACCATGAGGGGCGCGTCCCAAGAGCCGACGCAGAGCCAATGCTTCGGGCGTTCGCTTCCACGGGCGCGTCAGAAGGAAGCGGAGAGCTGTGGATCGCAAAGGGGCGCCAAAGAGAAACTCTAGAATGATACGGCCATGGGTCAAAACCCACTCCCCCCCAGTCAAGATCCCAATCCCCACTAAATTAGACTAAAATGGGTGGTGCACCTATCCCAAAATGGGATCCCATTCGTTTTGACCCACAGCCATACTGTTTGGGCCGTTGGGCTGAAGATGAGAAATATACCCTCTTTCCACGCCAAAGAGAAAATCTAGAATGATACTGTTTCAGTCCTGGAAGTCGACAGAAGGCTTGCAACGAGAAGGCTGTGCACGTTTATGACCACAGACAAAGAGAAACCGGGGAAGCCAAAAAGGAAAAGCAAAAAACGAAGCCTATCTTCATTTGCGAGCTTCTCAGCTCATAGCTGTTGACCAAGTTGCAGTTGACTTTGTGGGCAACCCCAAAGTGGACATGAACCGCAGATTCTCTTGATCTTTCAAGACACACAGCTTCAAACCGATCCAAACCACGTGGAATCTTGGACGTTTGCTTTCAAGCTAAGAACACGCTGCCTTGAGCGCGAAAAGGAAGCAAAAGGCCCTACCCAAATCGAATGTTGACCCCATGAATCAAACCCAGTTCATAGACCTCCAAAAGTGACGATTCCAAAACGACTAAACTATGGATATGGGATCAACATTGAGAAGGAGAGGAGGTGCACCCAAGCGCACACACACACACACACACCGTGACATAGGGAAGCTCCAGAGCGGTTGGATCCCACGATCGGTTACGGTTCAACCCGGTGGCGCCTGGGTTCTGCTGTGGGAAAGGGGCACCGGCTGAATTCAGGGGAGTTTGACTTGCATGCCCGCAGACCCGCCCAAAAACCAAATCGTGCCAAGGAATGCGAGCAAATCATCCCGAATCCGAAGCGTAACTCGGAGCTCTAGGCAACCCCAGCTGAACATGGGTCCTTGAAGTATCAACAAAAGAGATCCCTCCTCGGGAGTTTATGAATACCTCCTGCTAGTTTGAGAGAATACACCGCAGTTCATAAATGATCTGCCTGCATATAACCCCCCCCCTTTTTCCCCGGCCCAAAAGCAAAGCTTCCGGAACCCCAACCCCGAACTCCGGAACCACTCCAGAACTTATCTGGGCCCGTAGTTTTCGTTGGGAGAACCAAACTGCGGCAGGCGGCCTTCCCTTCAAACGGCTTGGAGCGGGCGAAGTTTCCTTCGGAATGACCAAAAATTCGCCGAAAATCCACGACCAGTGCGGCAGTCTGATCTTTCTTGGCTGCTCACCGGCGAAAGAATCGTGGGATCCGCGCATCGTTATCTCCCTCTAGATCAAACCCGCCGAGTCCGCTCCCCGCTGATTTTTTCGTGATGCCCCTTTCAAAGTTCCCCGCAAGAAAGGAGAAAAACGAAGAAGCAACTGGGGAATCTCCAAGCAAAATGGAAGTTGAAACATGGCACTGAAGAGAACCAGCCCCCCGACCCGCAACAGCCCGACGCCCGCGAAACGTCCGCGCTCCCCCTCCCCCTTTTTCCTTTTTGGTTCAGTGCACCCGGCGTCCACGTCAGGCAGCCTGCGCTGCTGACGCGGCCAAAAGTACGGGCTTGCCCGGAAACGGGCTTGTCGCTTTTGGAATCCTGGCCGAAACTTGAGAACGTGGTGCTTGCTTTGTTTCCTTGAAACTGCCTGGCTCGAATCCAGCCTTGAACTGGGGTCACCTCACAAATGTTTTGCCCCCGAGGAAACCAATTCGACGGCATCGGGGCGCTTCATGCACTTGACACAAGAGGTTGCCTGAAAAATGAAAATCTGCCAGGCCCAGCCCAAAAGTAAAACTCGCGTCCACCCACCCACTCCCACCCACCCACCCACGCCCACCCAAGCGGTGTAGTAGGACCTTGGAATGCGTGGAACATGTTCCCCCCCAGCTGCATATGAACAACACCGTCGGCCTTAATTCATAACCTGTCTTGCTGAGTTCGGCGAGCTGGCTATTAACGTCATCCTCACACTTAGCAGATCTTCTCTTTTGGTCTGGCGGGAGGCGCGTTGCCTGTGTCTTGGACAAACTTGAACTCGGACCTCTCTCTTTAGAGGGGGTTTCCCAAATGGATTCTATTCCACCTGGTAGGCTCCTGACACTCGTCCGTCCAGGAAACGACCTCGTCCTGCGAAGGATTCGAAATCTAAAATGCTGCGTGCAGGCGTGTGGCTGCGACATAACGACCCCTAGATATGCGCAGTCAATTTGCCTCGTAACTGCGTTTCTGCAAGGCGAGCTAAAAAAAAGGGTCCAAACCAGCCAAGCCAGCCAGAAAGCCAGCCAGAAGCCAGCCAGAAGCCAGCCAAACCAGCCAGAAAGCCAGCCAGAAAGCCAGCCAGAAGCCAGCCAGAAAGCCACCCAGAAGCCAGCCAGAAGCCAGCCAGAAGCCAACCAAACCTCTTTTTTTGATAGCCAGAAGCCAGCCAAACCAGCCAGAAAGCCAGCCAGAAGCCAGCCAGAAGCCAGCCAGAAGCCAGCCAAACGAGACAGAAAACCAGCCAGAAGCCAGCCAAAAAGCCAGCCAAAAGCCAGCCAGAAAGCCAGCCAGAAGCCAACCAAACCTTGTCTTTTAAAACCCAGCCAGAAGCCAGCCAGAAGCCAGCCAAAAAGCCAGCCAGCCAGCTCAGCCAGCTAGCCAAAAAGCCAGCCAAAAGCCGAGCCAGCCAGGGTTCCTTTTAGGGCGCTCGCCTTGCAGAAACGCAGCTACGAGGCAAATTGACTGCGCATATCTAGGGGTCGTTATGTCGCAGCCACACGCCTGCACGCAGCATTTTAGATTTCGAATCCTTCGCAGGACGAGGTCGTTTCCTGGACGGACGAGTGTCAGGAGCCTGCCAGGTGGAATAGAATCCACCTGCCCGGCATCAAAGCCACGCCAGCCTGCCGAGTCATACGAATCATACGGATCATACGGTCATACGGTCATACGGTGGCGGCTTGGCACTTCGGGTACGCCTTCCGGGTATCGAAGCCTCTGCCTGGCATCGAAGCCTCCAGCCTGCCGAGCCGCGCCACCCGAGGTCGGAATTCCGACTTCGCTCTCCCACCATCGCTCTCCCACCAAGGTCGGAATTCCGACTTCGCTCTCCCACCGAGGTCGGAATTCCGACTTCGCTCTCCCACCGAGGTCGGAATTCCGACTTCGCTCTCCCACCGAGGTCGGAATTCCGACTTCGCGAACCCGCAGCCGCTGCAGCACACGCCGCTGCAGGCGATACCCGAGGAAGGCTTCCGCACGCCCGCAGAGGCTACAGACGAGGACGTGCGGCTTGCCCGGATCTACCGGCTACGGGGGAACCCGCTTCGTCGAGGACGTTGCTTCTTCAGCTGACTTGCTGCGTTGCCGCAGAAAGTCCGTGAAGCATGGGGAAGACATCCTTGAAGGTGAAGAAAACTGGCATCAAGAAGCCTCCTCGCGTGGAGAAGGTGGAGTCACATTGCCAGCGCAAGTGGCCAATCATGCTTGGGAGCGACTGCAGCGGCATGGGAACTGATGTTGTGGCAGCGAAGCAACTGGGGATTGAGTTCATGGTTCAGTTTGCCACCGATGTGGACCCAGATTGCCGAAAGGTGATTCTTTCCCACAAAAAGGGACCGAGGAGTCTTGGATATGCTCTTGGAAATGTTTGCGAGAAGTGTGACTTGTACACAGCTGGGTTTCCGTGCCAACCATACAGCAGACTGCCAGAACAAGTAGCTGTTTTCAACCGAGTTTGGGTTACTTTCTGTTTTTTTGCACATAGGTCTTTGCTTAGTCTGCTCCTTCCGAGGTACGGCGGGCGTCGGGCAGGGGAAATGCGACCAACGTGATTTATCAAAGGCTGTGGTGGACTACATCTGCCGCATGCAACCGCGTGGATTTGTGCTGGAGAATGTGACGGGCATCCGGAATAAGAAGCACAGGAAGCACTTCAACAAACTTCTGCAGCAGCTCAAGGAATGTCGGCTTCCTGGGTCGCAGAAGCGGGCCTATGCTGTGAGCTGGCGAATGGTGAACAGCCGCAGTTTCGGGCTTCCGCAGAACCGGAAGAGGATCTACATCATGGGCGCCAGGAGGTCCACGCGCAAGGGTGTGAAAACCAGAAAACCAAATATGGTCCACTCGCTGCCTGAAAGCAAGTTCGCTTGCCTGGACGACTTCTTGGAGAAGGGGCTTCCCAAGGTGGACATCAAGAAGCTTTGCAAAACCAAGCGGAACAACATTTTGGCAGGAAGGAAGAAGCTCAAGGCGAAGGGTGTTTGGAATCTGGACAGGGACATCATCGACGCAGGAGCCGGGAAAAACTTCCGGCAGGTCACCTCGGGCTATGTTCCCACAATCACATGTGCACGAGCCTCCGGCGACAACTTCTGGCTCGACAACGATTCTTGTCCAAACCAGATTTAGCGAGTGCAAATAATCAAGTGTGGCGAGTTGCGCAGCCCGCAGCCCGCTTACAGCCTGTGCTAAGGAAAGTCGCTTTCTCAGCCTCAAGGAGCTGGCGGCTTTGCAGGGATTCCACAACTTCCGCTGGCCCAAAAGTGTGTCCCGCGCCAAGAGAGGCAAAATGGTGGGCAACGCCATGTCGGTTCCTGTCCTGAGGGAGGCAATGAGGGCGGTGCTCACGGCAGCTAGGTTGATCCGCTGGGCCTAGTAACTGTGGAGCCACAGTTATTAAGACAAGAGCTGCTCCTGTTTAATTTGCTGGGACGATGGCCCTGCTTTGGGTTGGTGCTCCGCGACTGCAACAATTGACCGGGGTAAACAAAACACGGGGAAGCGTTGCTGACGCGGATCAAGTTCGACTTTTCACAGAGCGTGGCCCGTGCTTTCAGATTAAGGCTCATCCGCAGTTTTCAGATTAAGGATCATCCGCAGTGTTTTTTATTTGAGGCCCCCGGTGCCAGCTGCGTAACCGCAGCGAGGTGCAGACTGCTATGGTTCAATCAACATC